GTACTAATGCCTTTTCCCCCACAGTTGATAAGGAACTAACCCAATTCTCTTCTGAGCAGCATTCAAAGAGATGCCTTAATCTGTCTTACTGCTTACTTAAATAAATATCTTGTGCTCACCATTGCCAGACTCTATTAGGTATCAGCACCATATCTACTACAGCTGACCAAGTAGATAAAAAACAGCACAGTCCCCACCCCTTTTATTCCAAACTCTGCAGAAAAACATCAACAAAGTCTTGAATACTCTCTGTCCTTCCTCAGCTTTTCTGTATTTTATTCCCTGACCTAAAGGATTAAGCTTTGGGTTCTGTGAGCAAACCTACAAATTATTCCCTGCTAAAATTCCTTGTCCTTCAGCTTCTTCAAAACAGCACAGAAATTCCTCAACTCTGCTATACTGCTCTCAAAACCTAGCACAGGTGGTAAGTAGCCTGCTTATCCCCACTGGTATATGTGTCTCCATGGTGCTCCTTGCTGCTCGACAGGAGAGGGCACCTGAAAGGTGAAATGCCTTTCCTTTCTCCAAGGGGAAGAAAATAAACAAAAAAACCAGATCACCCAGGACTTAAAGCAAGTCAAAGGTTACCCTGATTCAGAGCAACTACAAATTCTCCAGCTGCTGCTCTGAAGAAGCACAAAATTACAAACAAAGTAGTCAAGTACAACAAAGCATGCTCCAAGCACCGAGACATCCACTTCCACTTTGGAAACACCCACCACCCCAATAGCGCAGAAAAGCAGAGTCCAGAGATGAACTCCTGACAGGAACTGAGGTGTAAACTTGGGTAAAGAGTTGTAAAGGCAGGATGGGCACTGGTGCTTTCCCTCTCAAGAGAGCAGTTTAAGAGAATGGACAGCAAAGGACAGTAGCAGCCCCAGAGGTCAAGAGAAGTGATGAAGCCACTCAGAGCCCACTCAGTGCCTAAGGGAGGCACCCTGTTTCATACCACTCAGATCCTGCAGAATCATAGTCTCCTCTTCCTCTGCTACAGCTATCCAACAGGTCACTTCATCAATAACTTTCCTCAGCACATCCCTGTTCACAGCACTAGTGCTGGATGAGGGGGAAAGAGGCAGTGTGAGAAATGCTCTTTACAGATGAAGCCTTGTGCCTTGCCGTGGGAATGCAAAAGCATCATTTCCCAACATTCACCCAATTCTCCACATTGTATCCTGTGATCTCAGTTTTGGTTCAGAGAGACTACAGCATGCTGGAACTGCTGGCACCAATGCATTCAGACCAACAGGCTTCAGTATTTCTACAAAACATCATCTGAGTGAAGCTGAGCCATCAACAGAGTCAGTACTGAGGAGCCACCTCTCTGAATAGTGCTCACCTGCAGAATGTCCAGCTACCTGCTAAGAGATGCTGCCTAAAGATCTTCTCCTGTACCTCATTCATGTATGGGATTCCATCTTTGAGGAACTGAGGGGGGGAGAAAAACGCCAGGTTGATTATATTCCCTTGGATTTTCCTGCAGTACATTAGAGAATTAGCAGGTTAGCCAGGGCAAACAAACTGTAGGCAATCCATGTATGGAGAAAAGGATTTTTGTCAACTGGAATAATTGTCTTTGCTCTGCTTTTACCTTTCCTTTAATAAGATGCTTCCAAGTGTCAAGATACCAGATGCTTCCTGTCTAAAACTGCAAGCTAGTACTCTCATGGGATGACATGGTCTGAATTTTATGGGAAATGTGGCAATACATAAGACACAGGTAAACTGATACTTCCCCATCTTCATGGCTAGTAAAGACACCCACAGGGGTCTGTTTAGTAACTTGTCAGCTCACCAGAGATAGGTGGGGGTTTGGGGTTTTTGACTGTTTGTTTTTTGAGGCAGGAAAATCTGTCTTAAGCTGACAAAGATGTGGTTATTGCCTCTACATTGGTTCAGAAAAAACAGCACTCACTATCCCTGTTGATAACAAACTGCATGATGCATTCAACAAGATGGTATTTACCCCAGAAACATAGTGTTTAGGGATACTAATCCTGATTTCTTCTGTAACTGCAGAGATTTCCTATCTTCTGTATTTTTGGCAGAGAGATTACGTACCTTATTATAGTCAAAGCCATAATGAGACAGGAACTGAATGCTAGATGCAGAGAGGGTGAATTCGACATCCCTAACTCCCAGCATTGAGGGAAAGAGAAAAAAGTTGTATGAATGCACCACATACCTAAAATGAAAAGAAAAATATCTCTCGAAGATAATGACAAGAAATAACTCCCCGCAGAGGGACAATGTATAAAATCTCAACTGCACTGTCTTCATTATAACAGAAAACTGCTTTTCTACTTACTTGTTTGAATTTTCTTTTGAGAATATTGCCAGCCCTGTGAGAAAGAAACGTCCATTCAGATGGCAAAGTTTAGCTGGATGCCTACAGATAGTGTGCAATTTGATAAGAGATGTGGGGAAGCCCTCATGAAGTACATGTTTTCCACTCACTAATGTCACAGTGCAAATCTTAACAGCAACTGCCAGGCCACTCCTCAGCTCCCTGAGAGCTGAACGAGGACAAGCCTTTACTGCTAAGTGGGAAAAGGAGTCAAGTCTGATTAAATAAAAAAGATTGAGCAATGGCCAAGAGGCGAGTTGGTGATCAAAGTCTCTAACTATGCATGCACAGATGGGTCTGTGGTCCAACTACACTACAAAAATGTTTGGAAGGAGATGGGCACCAGAGAGTACTGAAACATGGGTTTAACTTCTCAGGTTTTGGGTTTTTTCTGTTAATCCCTAAAAGGCACACTAACAGCTTACATACCCTAAGGCTTTGAAAAACATTTCAAATGATTTTGGAGCTTTCTTCTTGATTTCTTCTTGGTTCTTAACTGTCAATGCCCTCCTCCACAGGCCCACTCTCATGTTGATTTTTTTGTTATTTTAGGAGTATCAGAAATAGTAGCCTTCATTTTCTTCTGATAGTCCCCTTACTCACGCACTATATCAAATGATATGGCTTTGAATAGGAGCTGCCATTATATGTTTCTTGCTTGCATCCTCCACTTTAAAAGCCCTCTATTTTTAACTGCAACCTTTAAATATAATCAACTTTAGACAAGTAAAAAGTATTCAGTCCACCTGACATTATTTAAAATATTAAAAATTCAATAGTATTAAACATCAGAGAGCGAAAAAAAAAACCAAACAAATGTCTCTGTACAAGTATATTAGGGCCAGAGCCATCTACAGGACCCACCTGTTGGCTAAAGGCTGGTTACCTGTAAGACCTCAGATCACTTTCTGTGTCAGAGCAGCACTCACCAAGCTGAGTAACAGTGAAGCGCTGAACACTCTGCCTGATCTTCAGATACCGCTCCACAGGGGAATCAAACAGGCTAGGAACGAAACCAGAATTGGGGAAAGGAGAGCGGACACATGAAGACTTGTTACACACGGGTTGCTCTCTCACAGAGCTAGAGCAACAAGTCTCCCTCACGTTTCAAGTTCAACAGCTTTACCTGGGCTCACTGCTTTGGGGGAAAGTTGAATACAAGCCAGTAAACTCCGTATCAAGGGCTGTTGAGGTGGAAACAACACAAGAGAATTTGAAATTTGAGGCATGTACTTCACCAGCGCCAGGACGGGGCTCTCTCAAACACTTTTCTCCACCGTAACCTCTGTCAAACCCACCGGCGGCAGGCTCAAGAGAAAAGGCAACCAACTGCTGTGGGACTGAAGCCTCCAGCTCCCTGATCCCTGTGGCAGGATGAGGCGACAGGCACGGCCACACACACGTCCCGCAGGAGGGGCTGGCTTCCGCCTGAGCAGTGTGTGTGCCCCCCAACCCCATAACCTCCGGAGCCCCCAGCCCTCCGAGTCGAGGCCAGCATCTCAGCGAGGGCTCCCTTCCCAATCCCTGCTGCCAGTTTTAAACTGCGGGCCTCGGCGGCCGCTGTCTCTTTGCACAGCAGCGCCATTATCCGCTGCAATACCCCTCAGTGCTCGCGCCCCTACACCGGACAAGGATAAGCCGCGCCCCTCCCCAGGGGAGCGGCGGCCGGGGGCACGGCTCGAGCGGGCGGGCGGACACCCCGTGCTCACCCACGAAGGAGGCGCGGGCGGAATTGCGGCGCCTGAAGGCGCCCGCAGAGCCGGCGAAGGCCCTCACGCGCCCACTCCATCCGCCGGCTCCCCGCAGCCGCCGCCGCGGCCTGCCGTGCCGCCACTGCCCCGCGCGGCGGACTCGTCCGCCGTAACTAAGGGGAAAGGCAGGACCGCGGCAGGTTCGAGGATAATCCGAGCGGCGAGAACAAAGCAGGGGAGTGTTTTTTGAGAATGATGTCAGTTGAACTCTGAGGGTTTAGTACAGATGCCAGAACCGTGCCGGGCTCACGCCGCTCGCTGCTAAACCCCGGCACAATACCGTGGCGTTTATTTCTCCTTTCCCAGAGCCTACAAACACGTAGCAGCAAGGCACAGCACCAGGACGCAGGTACGGGAGTTGCTCTGACCAAGCCTGGCCTCTCTGAACCAGGTGCTGCTTGACAGAGGGGTTCACATACCCTGAACACACTCAATGCCGATCACCTGCCAGAGGCACTGACAGCATCAGTCTGTGGACAAGCAGCAGGCAGACACAGGAGACAATCGGGCTTCTTACTCCCTACAGATGGTATTTGTTCAGCTTTCCTCCTTCGCCTATAAGGTTAAGCAGCTACAATGTCAGGGTTGCCGGAAACCTACAAGGATGAGTTAGGGGAATTCCATCATTTTTACCAAGATTAGCCCATAACATTTTATTACAGTTCTCAACATTCACATAATGACTACATTTTGCTAAATTAGACTGGCAGCATACAGGGATCAAATATCAAAGCATTTCCAGAGTTCAGGTTAGAACAAACAAAACCAAATATCAAAAATAAAATATACCTTAAAATTGTTGAATTATGAAGTAAATTCTGTCAACCTATCAGGCTGACCTATGATAAATTTATTCTAGCTTTAAAGGTGTTGATCATTTTAGAATCAAGAATATGACACAGTTTTGCCCATTTAAAAGTATTTTATTATAAGATGACACATTCCAATTTTTTCCAGCTCTGGTCCTTCACTGTGCTAATACACAGACTTAAAGAAGTGATCATTTTTCCTTGGAAAGTCTTCCTAGAAGTCTCCATTTTACCGATAGATTCTTCGTGGCTCGCGCAGAACAACACCACCCTCCTCCATTGCTTTTTCGAATTCCTGAATCTTGTTTAAAAGATAGAGACATGAATAAATACCAAGAAAAGCCATCAGTACTGAAATATCAGTGAGGACATGTTAGGTGGAGGGCAGAGCTTTACAGCCTCACAGAAGCATACTACCAGGAACTGCAGCTTGTCAAAGCTGCCTTTGTGAGTGTTGCAAGGAGGGACTGTCAAACCACATGAAGAAAATTAAGAGTGACAGGATGTAAAATTAATGCCTAAAAAGGAAAAAAGAGACAAAGGAATAAGGAGATGGGTACTTGCCGAGTCACAACGATATTCCCAGGGGATAATGGCTTTAAAGTTCACAAAGTTGATTCCTGCTTCCAAACAGCGCTGTGCCATTACACGGCCAAGGTTTTTGCATGCAGCTACTCCCTTGGGACTGTACAAGTGTCTTTTTATGGCCCACTCTCGGGTGGAGGCAGATACCACAACATCCCCATTGGAGCGCTCAACAAAGGCTTCTATATAATGCTGTGTCCGCTCAAGCCGCAATCTAAGTGCAGGAAAGAAATAACACGGGATTATGTCTTTTCCAGAGAACACATTCATATGCTTAAATTATTCCCTTTGTGAAATAAAGCTGAATGTACTAGCATGATATTATATTACATTACATTATATTATATTATATGTAGGGTTTTGCTTATTCGGACAGAAATAAGAATCATATTACTAGTTGAGAAGAGTGAAATTCCAAGAGCAGCTTTTCATCAGTTACTCAGGTCCTACGTTGCCTCAGACCAGCATGCACTCCAAACCAAGCACTGTACACCTGCACAGTGTGGAACAGGTACATATGAGCTAGATGAGGGGAACTGCTCCAGCAGAAAAGGAGCTTTAGGGCTGCTATACACTCTCTTAGGGGCTTGTGCTGCCACAGCAGGCAAGAAATTGTTGAGAAAGTTGTCAGAGAAAACATCATAAATCTCTACACATAACTATAGAGTATTTATTAGGAACAACTATTTCTTATTGCACTGAGGCAATTACCAGATTTCCCGGTGTGAACGAACTGAATGTGGATCTCTCCTCAAGAACAAAATAATGATTTTGAAACCCTAGCTTAAAATGAACTTATTTTCTAGAAGACAAGCAAATAAAAAATAAACCAACCCAACCAAGCAACCAAACCCCCTCCACCCCAAAACCCCACAAAAGAAAAAACCCAGACAATTATGTTGTCTCAAATAAAACAATGAAGCTGGTCAGCACAGAACTAAGAGAATCCTGAGTTAAAAAGCAGTTGCTTAAGCAATATTACTGCTGCCTTAATAAGAGATGGAAAGATCTTCACTGCACATGCTGAGCTTTATATGATGCTAGTCTGCTGTTTTTTAACACAGATACCGGCTCATTAATAAACACTAGCATGATAACTGATGCATCAACCCAGAAAACACATTTTGAATAGTTTCCACCTGGTGGGTTTCTGGGGTTTGTTTTGTTGTTTGTTTGTTTTTCTTTTGGAGTCTTCATTGCTGCTGGTGACTTTCTGACTCACCTATGCCAGAACTCACGCTTTGGCCATGTTGTCTTCCAGCCACGCTCCTTCCTAGCCAGGGCCAACTGCTCCAAGTTACGAGGATTTCTGTTAGTGAAGTCTGGGGCAACAACTTCATTTTCGCTAGTGTCCACTTTGATCTCAGTTTTGAGACCGGTTGTAGTTGATGCAAAATGAAGACCTTGGGGGGAGAGCCGGAAAAAATACCACACAGGTTAAAAAAAACCGTAGTGCAAACAGTAGAATGAATACAGTACAGAATGATATAGCTTGTAAAAGTCAGCAGAGCAAAATCAAGTTTGGTTTTTTTTTAAACACTTAACAGATGTATAACAAGACCTCAACCTGTTCCTCCAATTTATGAGGTGAACTGCTAGTATATAAACGCTGTTTCAAAACTCGTATATAAAATATAAACTCACACGTGACTAGGAAATCCCTAGGACCGAGGCTTTACAAAATACTGAAAACGAATTACACAAGGAACCAATGACAGCGCTGCCAAATAACAAGGCATAATATTTAATTCCTTGGCACAGCAGCACCGCCAAGACGCC